CACATTAACTTCCTGTTGCATTTTTGACATCATAATTCGAGCCTTGAATAGTGAATTGCATTGCGCTACTGTGAAACCAGCCCAGCAGCAGAACAGCAAGTTTTCTCGTGCGATCAGACCAGTGCTTGCCAGACTTATGATCATGCTGTGTGATAAAATGCACTGCGACTGACTTTGACCATGATCCTCCGGATGCCTGAGTAAAATTCAGCACAGCATGTAAGTCGTAACTCGGCGCAAACCTTACGTCTGTCTCTCGGAAATTCCATTTAGAAATATGGCATGTAGATATGTCAAGGAAGTGTTTATTGAGAAGCCACGAGGAAAACTGGATACTAGTTTTCCGGTTTTGCTTCACTGTCATTTTTAATAGCTCTGTAAAACCGCACACAGCTTACGATTCGTGATGCCCACATATTGTAATATTTTGTACTTTAATACTCAACGTGCTTACTGCGTATAGATTCTTCCTCGACAGTAAATCGAAATTTAGCTACCTGTCATACGATATGCTGGTCAATGCTAATACGCCGTTCATAGATGTGTTCCCGTGTAAAGAACTTGGGAACCATTATGGCTTGGTTCCTTGCTTACGGATGGTTGAAGCATGCCAATATTTGTTCTTGAGCACCTCCGATGTGTCTGCGTGTCAGCTTATGCTAAGAAGTGGTTGTTGCTGATGGGGTGACATAAACTGATCATCAGTTTCATAAGAAGCTGTTCACATCACGTTCGTCTGCATTTGCAGGAATCTTTAATCTCTGCAACAATTCTAGTCTGATCTGACTTCATTGTTGTTAACCTGAATCCTGACGTAGAGTTTTATTCCCTTATCAGATGGTACTGACAGTTGAAGACGCCTGCTTAGTCCTCATAACAGGTATCATCATTCTAGAATATTGAGTTGAAGATGCTGATCACGCTGAGACATCTAAACTGCGGGCTTTCCTCATTAGCGGTTTCAGTGACTGACTGACTCATTCACTGATTTGCTACCATAACACATAGAGCGCACGACATAGGCACATTTTATGGGTGAAAGCATTTGCATAATCGTCCGAGGCTACGAGTCGATTATGCATAGCCTCCAAGGTGCTAACTGCCTTAGGGTCAGCACAAAAATTTCATGACCCAATGGAGTTACAGCGCATGCGTTGCAGTATGTAATGTCAACTGTTGTCGTTAAACCATGCCATGCTTTGAAAGGAGGGCTTGATGCTAGTTAAGCACTGAAATGCAGTGCTACTCAACTCCACGGAATATCAGAGAGAGCGAGAGATGTAAATGAGCACTGAGACTTCAGTCAGACAACGACCTGCTTCCTACCCTGCGAAACAGGGGGTATCACGGGGCAGTAGCAGTTTATTAGCGAAGTTGAATAGCACGACCGGAAGATGGACGACGCAGAATACAGTATCCGAAGAAAATCCTTCTATATTTCTGAGTGCATAATTCCAACTGTTTCATAATGAACATATAGACATGTAAACTTCTACTTAATCAAAAACTGATGCTTTTGTTTGTTTTCTTTGCATTACACACATAGCATCGAACAGTCGTCTACTATAGCAGCAAACTCGACTTAGCACAGGTCTGGTGTATCCTTGTGGCTCTTTGTTACGATGGCAAAAGCTGCA